CCCCAAAACCCCAAAACCCCAAAACCCCAAAACCCCAAAACCCCACTCCAATGGCTCGACATTGAACTATTTAACCGTGAAATTTAGCCACTAAATAATATTAATAACTCTCACTTAAAACATGAGCTTCATTCATTCCCAACATCAGTCCTTCTCAGGAGAGAGGAGCAACAACATGCACAGCTTCACGGCCACCTCTGAGAAGAGGTCTTCTTTTAAAGGTAAGGTTCAAAGTGTGGTAAAGGGGTTTTGAGCGGGTAGAATGACGTCATTGGAAGGAAGACCGGGTTATGTATTGGGTTTACAGGATTTTGAGGAGTGGAATTTTGGATTTTTGGTGTGGATTTAGGCCTTGTTTTGGAAAAGAAATGAGTCAGTTTTGTAGTTTTTAGGCTGTGAGAAACATTGGTGTGTTTATGGCTATAACACGACAAAAATCTTCTCTCAGAGTGTGCTTTTGAACCCAAGGAGGAGAGTTAAGACCCTTGGGAGATCTTAGATAATTAATTTAGGACCTGAAGAAGGCTAGATTTTGTAGTTAGTCTTATCGAATCCTGATTGATTGCAGATTTAAATCATATTGACGTTCATGTGAATTCTAGTTTATTCCAAAGTTATAATTTTTGATGTACATAACTCGATCTTACATATTGGTATAGGTGTGATTCTAGCAATAGTGGCTATCATATGTTCATCATGCATCCCACCTTTTGTAAATTTGTATAAAGGAGTGTCTATACCTGTCATCGGAGCGTGGAGACATCAACTTTCATGAATCTATTGAATTCCACTTAGTTGGTATATGTTGAGAAAGTTACCGAAAATCGATAAAAGAGTATTCACTTGGACGACACTGTCAGAGATTGTCCTTGCAGCCACCTTCTTCTGCATTGCATCTGTGATGTTCTTGATGAGCTCAAGGAAAACTCTTTACTCGCATACCATGACGTTGGCAAACTCTGGAGGGATCATCCTCATTTTGGTAAATGTGATCAGACTTATACCAATAAATAGATATGAGATCATTGGAACCATTGTTGTAGTCTGCGGTATATTTGCTCTTATCAATGATTCTGAGTCGACTAAGGCTGAAGGAAGTACAAATATCTTGCTGGGTGATACTTTTGCATTAATATCAATGCCTTGCTATACCTTAGCTTTCGTCTTCAACTCTAGAGCCATCCAAAAACTTCCTTCTCTTGTTGTATTCCACTGTTTTAGCGTGGTTCAGTTGGTATTATTCACGACATATATTTTAATCTTCAGCGGTATCGAAATGCAAGTTTTATTCTCAAGAGATCCAATTGGTGGACTATTCGGATGGAGTGACCCTAACTGGATTCTACTCTCCACCTTAATTATTGCTCCAATCTGTGGAGTACTTGGAGTAGGTTGCTACGTGTTTCTACTCGATTTCTTCCCTCCTCATATTGTGAATGGAATCTTTTTACTAGAGCCATTCGTGGGACAACTCATCGGTACTTTACTCGGCCAAGACGGATGGCCAACTATCTTCACTTACATAGGTGCTTTACTTGTGACCATCGGACTTGGGTTCACAATTATGGGAAATGCTAAAACTAAAGACGAGGAAGATGTGCCCAAGGAGATTCTAGATATTGAGCTTTCTCAGAGCTCTCTGCTATAACTATGAAAACACAGAATTATTCTCATTATATAATTATTTTCAATGATAATCTTATTCCCAGGGGTTTTGGGGTTTTGGGGTTTTGGGGTTTTGGGGTTTTGGGGTTTTGGGGTTTTGGGG